ATATATATATATATATATATATATATATATATATATACAGGGAGTTGAACATTGCAAGTAGGCAAAACAGATTTCCTTGCATGGGATTCGTCTTCCAAATAATCAGTGTCATGGTATTATGAACACGGATGAAATGACTGGTATCCTGAACCCTTGATGGGTTTGCTAGAGTTAAAGGAGATAAAACGAAAAAAAAAATGGTGTATTCTCTGGTGGTCGAAGCTAGTACAAAATAGGGTATAACCGCTGTACAGACGCATATAATATCATCATCTACGAGGGGCAAGAGCGATTCCTCCGGTAGTGCATCAAAAGAAGCATCTGGTAAGTGAATGGAGGATCTCCGGCGAACACAAGGTGACGTTGAGGTGCTCCCACTGCCCACTTCACCTCATTCATGGAAGAAACAAACCGTGCAAATCCATCAAGGTGACCTCGATGATTCCTGACACTTGAGAGGAATTCCTTCGTACGTGAATCCATTCTCGTCGGCATGCTTAGGTAGTCGCAGTGCAAGACCTACACGGCGAGATAAATTTTATTTAGCTCTACAAACAGTATGGTGCATGAACTACGACGTTCTCCATCAAAAACAAAAAAAAACACAACGTACCACCATCAGCCATGTCTTTTGTCTTGTGAAGCAGAAATGTTCCAGAAATAATTATCACGAAACCACACAACTCCGTGACAATCTGCGTGGGATCTTGCCGATCCCAATCCTGTAAGTAGAATTATATGATCATGGAACTATGATATTTTATAACTAAATATCTACAATCACTATAACAATTAATATAATCATTACTGATACCAAAGTTCGTGACAATCATATTATTCTTACCGGTCTTAGACTAGTTACTTCACCCACGTATCTCAAGATTTATTATTTGAAGACAATCGATAAACCAGAGAACGATTTTGTTACCTTCAATCGACCATGTTCTAATATTATGTGGGCTATGATATCATTTGTCGTGATGTGACCTCTAGTCCAGTTCATGATTAATTTTTTCTTACTTGAATCTTTCACCATATCCCAGTACTAGATTAAGTCGGATATCATTTGTCATGCCTCGACATGAAGAGATAACTGATCTATTAATCGACCCGATCATTTGTCATGACTCGACCCGAGAAGATACTCGAATCTCTCACCACATCCTAATACTAGGTCAAGTCTGGTATCATTTGTCAAGACCTGATGATGAGATAACTGGTTTATTAACTTCATCAAGCATGAATCACTGGCCAAAATACTTAAACCCAAATTACTAGTAGTACACCTATCAACCTCTTTTAAGTCATCTAAATTTTAATCGATACTAAATCAGGTGTTACGATCGATCCTATTGTATTATCAAAATTATGACTTTGGTTGCCAAGAAAGTCAGAAACTAAAGAAATTATGCAGATGTACATATACTGTCAGTTTTAAATATGATTCAGACAAATCTAAAGTAAGATGAAGAAAGCTAATGGAAAGCCCAAATGAAAGAAACCAAAGCAGGAGTATGTGTAGCATACTGGATTGTGGCATCCACTATTATTCTTATAATGACATGATGAAGTGAAAGAGCGAACACAAGCATTACCTTGAACATGATCACGCTGGCCAAAATGGTAAGTGATGTAAACATTACGTAGTAAACTGGCGATACAACTGCAGTATTAAACGTATCAAGTGCCTACAGTAAAAGACAATTAAATGGTTAATGATCCACAAGTCTGGTAACGAGAAGTCCATTTATGCCAAAATCCAGCGTATGCAACTACTCATTTGTTGAAATTGTTTTATATATGCACGATCTGATTTTGGTATGAAGTAGCCAAAGTGAGTATCTTGATCCATGTCACAAGGATTACTTTATATCCTCTAAAAGTATGTGCTCTAAACAAGTTTCCTAACACATTATTTTGAAACAGAATACACAATAGATAATGGATCACTTTGTTTCATAAGCATACTATTATGATGGAGACAAATGTCACACTCATGAAACATGTAGCAAGATACAGGTGGACAAAGTAAAACAACAAGAGTCATCTACCTTATTGAGAAACATCATACCAAAAGAACCCAGACAAATTGCAAACGAAAAATATAAATTGCAAACTTTTGCATATATTTTGGACAGGTGACAAACAATCCACAGAATCACTTTGTTTTGCCACTATGTACTTGATTAGACAACATTTTACAATAATCATAACATATTATGGAACAGCTAATTTGGCTCCTTGGTATTAGGTGTCAATCCCAGTCATAATATGCCACAGTCTACAACAGAACTCACCACTAAATTATTCCCTATTTAATTTTAGCAAATCTCTGTGTAGGTCTAGAAATCAATAAATTTTTATGTCCGTGTTATAACTAGTTCCTAGTTAATTGTTGTCTGTTCTCATTGGTGACATCATGATCAAAAGCTTCACTATACTAATAGCTTTTCAAACACCAGAATCCCAATCTCCGAAATGCAAAACTAGCCATATCATGATATATAGCTAGAAAACTCTCATCTTACCAGATTCAAGCATTTGATAGTTGAATCAACAGGATGAAAAAGAAAAGAAACTGTTTCCTGTAAATAGGAAGGTGAATAGAAGGGTGAGAGAAGAAAGCAGACTGAGGGCACTTGCACAAGTAGAACTTCAACCACGACATCATTTCCTCCATTCACAGCTAGGAATCACCTTCAAGCAAACAAAAGATGAAAAGCCCTTATCATGGATGTCAACTTGCATGCCTATTAGAATTTGAGCTCATAACCTCCAGAACAAGGTCCAAAATAACAAAAGTTGAACCAACTAAATTTAAGTCCATGAACTGATTAACATCAAACTGTTTAATCAAAATATATACTGCAACATCCGTGCCACTGTTTAATTGCTTCCTTCTTGTCAAACTTCGTCTACACTGCACATCATGGGTTTACTTTGGCAAGGGCATGAAGATGACATATGAAATTGTATCTCCAACATGTTGGAATCGTGCAGCATCGGATAAATAGAGTTCTAAGTTCTAACACAACATATAATACCTAACATATTATAGTAAAGATTTTGATAGAAGTGGAAATACTCCATAAAAAAACACACAGTCTCAGTACCTTATTTAGATAGTTCATTTGTGTAACCACACAAATAAGCACGGCAATGGTAAAAGCCCAAGTTTGTGGATATATCAATTGATTTATTCCTGAAAATGTCAATTTCAGAGCAATCCCAAGAGCTTTGACACCCATGACCTGTGCAATTTGAGATTTTATGGAAGTCAAAACCATCAAAGCTCAACAAAACTGAGATAATGTGGAATCTAATGTAGGGACAAGTAGATACCGATAGAGAGCCAACTAGGGAACAGACACCAACATAGAACATTACATGTGTCTGTCCATACTGAGGGATATAGAAGAATGTGAGCACCAAAATAGCTGCAATCACAATAGTTGCATAGCAGAGAAAAGCTGCGACAAAAATGTAAATGAGGCTCAGTAACACTTCAAGCAATTATTAGACAAATGACTCCGAAATTAAAATCAATATGAATGAATATAACAAAGAAAAAATGGAAAGTAAATTGCAAATAAATCCATATTACGATCCCATAAACAATATATAAACAGCAAAAGACCTGGTTCAGTAGCAAGATCCCATACTTCCTTCACGGAATCAATCTCCCTCTCTTGTGGAGCATGGAGAACAATTGTTGTCGAACCCACAACACAAAGAACACAGCCAAGAACACCAAAAATATGTAGACTTTCCCGTAGTATAATATGTGCAAGTGCGGCGCTGAAAGGTAATACATTACAATTACATGTGAAAATTCATATTAATGTATGATGTGCAACTCAATGTAATACCTGATTATTATGCTTACTGCACCAAGAGGAGTTACGAGAATAGCTGGAGCAAATGCATAAGCAGCAAAATTGGCAACTTCCCCAAGAATCACTGGTCATCATCTCACAAATATTATAACTTAGAATGATACATTGCAGAACATTTAACTATTTGTGAAAATTAAAAGTCTGGTCCAAAGTGCACGAGGAAAAATGCCTTTCGAGATTCCCTTATGCTAACGCATGATTTACAGCCAGATGATTTCATTCAAAAATGCATCTCAATGAAGTTCCATAAAGTATGCGCTGCACAAGCAGAATTATACTTGTTTGGCTACATGAGCACCTCTAGAAGAATAGTATATTAGACCACAAAATATCAAATAATGTGACTTTTTCTCTATGTATACAACCAAAGACATTTCTTGTTTTCAACTCTCACAATCTTATGACACATTCAACAAAGACCGAACAAAGAAATTAAAAGTACAAGCCTAAATTTGAAGTGCATCAGGATACCAATGATCAAAAGCAAGCAAATCTTGAGGTTAATGAATCATTAACCGATTATGATCATGCTGATTTACACTAGTCCATGTGAGCAAGATTATACCAGTTGCTTAGTGTGAGCCCATGTACCAACCCTTATCGGTCGCATGACCAGCACAGCATGACTTGGCATGCACTTCAAAAGGAGCTAACAGTAATCAATGATGAGTAGCACAAGATCTGCTGACAATAATAGCACAAATAGCTCATGGAGTAATGGAAGCTACATGAAAAGGGTATGTATAATGATGAAGAGAACAAAGCAATCTCACTTGTTATCATGCCTGCCCACCATAGTGGCTCGTATAGGTAAGAATAGCCTCCAACTCCTGCATTGAGATGAAAACAATTAAGATCTCAAGCTGGATAATGTGCTCATCTAATATGCAAATAGGACTTTACACTACATCGCAGAGTGGCATTACCCTACTAGGATAACTTTTGGGGGTAATACTGTTACACTAATCGATATAAATCGGTTAGGCTGTGTGTCTTTTCGTCACCTTCGAAAGAGGAGGAGGAATCCCTTTCGTCATTAGAGACACCAAAAAGGTACCCAAAACCACAGATGCATCAAAAAGATGGACGCATCAGCGGATCGGCAAGAGCTCGTGCTCAAGAAACGTGATGCCAGCGACGAAAACCTAACCAAGAAGCGAACATTCCCTCACCTGCTCTAACACCGGACGCGCCAGCCTTCTTAAGACCCATCTTTTTTATGATGAAACTGGCGCCGATGAAGGCGCTCGAGGAAAGCGCGAGCACCAGGCCCTTGACGTTGTCGGCTGACATGCTCCTGTAATCCGCCGCCACCCAGCTCCCCCCAAGCGCCATCCTTCCGGTTCTAACCCGCCGCGTCCACCGCTCCTCCCCCTGGCAGCCCCTCAAACCGCAGGACCAGCGGTCCCCAGAGGCTAAGGCGGCAGCGAAGAGCGAGAAATGGCTCGAAGTGGACGGTACGATTGAACAGTGAATCCCAAGAGCAATCGACGGGATAAAATGGAGTAGGAGTTGGAGGAAGCGCGTAGCGTCGTCATCGTCGTTGCAACGCCCGATGCGATCTCAACAAACAGCCGGAGGTGGGTACCGTCACTCCCCGGTGCCCTCACCTAACCCCTCCTCCTCCCTACCCGTCCGCATAGAGATGACTGCGCGCGCGTGTTTCGTTTGGGAGCCCAAAAACAATATCAAGCATTTTTATATTAGATAAAAAAAATAAGAAACCTTTTCCTTGGTTTTATTATAATTATTTTTTCCAAGATAATGTCCTAAAAATTAATATATATCGAAGGGCAAAACATATTACAGCCTTAGGAGAGGGCGCATAGGCGGTTTGTATGGGTTCATTTGTACGATAAGATGGAATAACCGCAAGATTAACCACTTCTGTTAAGGCATGAGAGCGGCGGTTACTTGACATTACAGAAACAACTTTATCCGTACAGCTAGCAAGAGCTAAGCAGTTATCAAGCACTTAAATGTCTATATTTATTATGTTTTTTTTTTTAATTTTTAATTAATTTCAATATCTTATACTTTTAGTATATATATATATAATCTAATTTTATTTTATTTATTTTAATTATCAATTAACTAACAAATCCCATAATTTCCCAGCTCCATCACATGTGACATGCTGCATATAGAAATCGAAGATGTTTAATCATGTGGAGTGGTAGCTATCTATCTATGTTAACAGCTTTACTTTACTCAGACATATACATATCAAAAACATCGACATGTATCAGAGAAAAGATATAATCCATCTACCTACCTCTGAACTCGTACGTTTCAAGACATTATATCACCTCGATTAGTTTGCAAGCAATCTGCCATATTCATGATGGTAACATGAAATCTTTAATGGTATTATAATAATTAGATTAGATATACATAGAAAACGCCACTGTTTTCACGCTCATCCCTGTGTTGCAAAGAAAGAAGCGAGTCTCTTTCTCCATCTTTGCCAACCTCCTTTTGTTTTGCTTTCCAAGGAGACGAGACAGCATGAGTACAGCGCCAACCATGGCTGATGCATCAAAGAACAGCTGCGCAGGCAAAGGAGGAGGCCATGGTCTGTCTGGTCTTCCAACTTTTACTTGTGGGTGGACCATCAGGTTTAGCTCAACCATACACAGATCAGCTTTAGCTTCCACTTGCCCAGCTAATTTGATACGCAGAATACTGCTGCAACTCTTGTTCTTGGTGGATTCATGGCGGAGTGGCGACGGGTCCCGCCAAGAACCAAGCTTCTCATTATGATACGAAGGCGACTTTGAGGTGGGAAGCTCCTATCGCGATATGTAGCTTTGTGTGTGTGTGTGTCTTATTGTGCCCCGTTCATTCCGGCGGTGGATGAGATGTATCAGCTCCCGTGAAAGCGATCAGCTCGACAGCAACTCTGTCCGGCCAGACGAGAGCTCTTATTGCTCGCGTCTCGCTGCAGACCCCATACCTTGGGTAGCTGAAAGAGTAGAGATCGAGTGGTTGTACAAGGATGGATGAGTTCAGCTTCCCCACCATTGCAGTCGACCAAGACTCCCTCTGCAGCCCCCCCTTCCCCCACTTTGCTGCCTCTCCTCTTTGGTTCCTGCCTTCCAGCGACGCCGAACGCAAGATCTCCGGCGATGGTCCCAGGTGCTTCTTTTCCGCAGAAGGGGAAGAAGAAGAAGCGTCGAAGGTCGCCGGTGCAGCGGCGTTGGAGGACAGCATGGACATGCTGTGGGAGGACTTCAACGAAGAGCTGCGCCGCTCGTTCTGCGAACGGGATAGGGAAGCAGAGGTCCCGGACTACGGCATGGCAGAGTTGCGCTGCTTGCAGGTGCTGAGCGAGTCCAAGAACGGCAGCCTGATTCATCGCAGGCGGTCGAGCTTGATATTGATCCTCAAGGTGCTGAAGAAGCTGTTCTTGACCCACAGGGATAGCTCGTCGAGGAGGACTCCACTCTGCTAAGGCTGCACCATACACTTGAATCCATAACCCGAGTCGACTGATCCCCTCCGACATGGAGGTGCAGATATGTTGCTTGTTACTTCTCCTTCTTCTTCTTCATGGATCTGCTCCTTCCAGCAACTAAATGACTTCATCGATGTAAATTATTATACGTGCATCAGAAACATCAAGTGTCCTTTGATTTCCAAACTTGCAAGATCTTGTCTTGTTGACTGTGTTGCATGAACAGTGGAAGAAGGTGCAGGAAAATTAAAGCACAGACCATGGGAAGGCAGGTGGATTGTTGTTTGCTCCATGCAAGCTACCATGGCATCACCGAGGAGGACTTCGAACTACCACCCTTGGTTGTGCAGTTGTTTTAGATGACAGGCTGGTCTAATGGCAACATTGTTTGTCTTGATACCTCTGGATTAGCCTTCTTCATTTGGACCAGTACTACATTAATTAATGTGAGTGGAGGTGACATTTCTGGTTGCCACAAAGTTTGTCATGTGTAAAGGATGGTCATCAGTCTCAAACCATGGTGAAATCATGTCAGATGGTAAGAATAATTTACAGAATGTGGTCTTCAGAAATTAACTAATAAAAAAATAATCTTTATAAGACTAATGCATAGGATAGTTTTGATGAATGTTATTATATATATATATATATATATATATATATATATATATATATATATATATATATATATATATATATATATATATATATATACTATATA